TTAATGTTTGTATAATTACGTAGTCATTCATATAGTCTTTACATTAGTTGGCTAGACTTCATAATAATTAGAGCAACTGCAATAGTTTTGTTCTTTAAAAGGAAGAATTTAATTCAAGTGTACATGATGTGATGTGGTCTAAAAAATGTTCTCCAACCAATGTAATATAGATTTGCATGAAATCTAGTTTCCCTGTCCTGAGAAGGACATTTTGTTTGAGTCCCTCGCCTTATAGGGCATAACTCTGGGGACGACTCTACTTCTAGCGACTTGGGACGTGATATTCTTGCGCCTTTAGAAAGGCACGAGGATAGACCCATTTAGCCCAAGGCCTTACAACATACCACTACGAGTCCAACCTCAATTGACCGAAAGCACCCGGCTCTCTGCATATCGTTTTTGGACTTTGCAGTTCCGAGTGCGGGCTTGGATTGCAGTCTCCCGTAGTACCAGTTTTATCCACTTTGGTCAGCGGCCCCAGTTGTTTATGGTGTGAAAGGAGCACCGTTATATTGTCAACAGCTGAAAGAAAGAGAATGGTTAGTGTTAGATATTTCCTGAAATATATAAAAGTTTATTATAATTGTAAAAGTTTATTATTGCTTTGTTAAGGATCGTTAAGTGAGAAATCCCTATCCGTTTGATCCACAGGTTTCAGGTGTTCTGCAAAAATTGCAGGCCTGCAACCTGTGCCTAGGTGCTCCGACAACACCTAGGTGTGGATCAATGAAGTTCACAAGCTATGTTTTCTTACGGCGCTGGTAATGATCTGCTACTTTTGTGGGGCGGAGGATTCTGTGTGTTGGGCATTGCTGCTCCTGTTCACGCTATCCTCCTTTTCTCTCTTACCACCTCGCGGATTCTTCTAACTCCCTCGAACAATTTCCCTTCCCCGCACGTCGTGACAAATCGTTCGAGGGCCCTACATGTGTCGTTCGTTTGGACAAACTTTGGCGCTATTTCAGACCATGTTGATCTGAGGTCAACGTTCGTTTCCGAACGTATGACCGCTATGAGACTCGTGCGTCTGTCTCTGTATGTGGGACAGTGCAGCAAGAAGTGCTCCACTGTGTTCCCATCTCCCCTATTGCAATTAGGGCAGGTTGGATCTGTTTCGGTCGCATATTGTGCACGATGTGCACGGAATATACCATGTCCTGTGAATATTAGTGTCATCATGTTGTTCAGGCGTATCCACTTATTATCGAGCCTGTCTGCTATGTCCGAGAAGAAGTAATATGTTTTGCGGCCCGTTTCAGACGCATCTCATTCTGCCTGCCATATTTTTATCGCTTGCAATCTGAGGTTTATTATCGGCGTCGACGACTCCCCTGACGTGTTATCGTTTAGGAAGATTCTAGTGCCGTTGTACTTTACTACTTCGTCGGTACGAAGTGTATATCGCGCATTAAGATCATTGATCGCTATGCGTATAGGCGGGACGCCTACCGCCACGCAGAGGCCGTCCCTTCGGGGTGGATGCGCGAGCATGCGCAACGACTCCCAAGACGCTCCTCTGTGCGGCCGCAAGCGTCAGCCAATCTTTAGCATTGCACATATTGCTCCATGCCGGGGACGCGTAAGCAATCACCGGCAGGAAGCACCCCCTATATATGGTTAGACAGGTATGATAAGTAAGTCCCCAACGCATTCGCGAAAGGCGTCTTATTTTGTGGAATAACTTTTCCGCTTGCGCCCGTCGTTTATGAATATGCATGGAGATGTTGAGGTCTCTACCGAACCACACCCCCAGGTACCTAACCACTTCTGGGTACATTATTCTGTTACCCTCTATAGTAATCTTAGGCGGTTTACATTCATGCCTGTCTTTTGAGATGTGGTTTATATTCTCTGTCGTTGGGATTGTTTTTGTTCCTGTAATTCCTTTTACCTCTAAGTTTTATTTCTCTCTTCATAAAGATTGCCTCCGTCTTCGTTTTTGATAGCTCGAGCTTGGCATTCTTGCACCAAGTGAGTATTGTGTCAACGACTGCCTGTCCTTTGGCTTCAAGGGCCTTCCATGAAAAGCCATCTATGATAAAAATTAGATCATCCACGTACGCTGCATATTGTTTTCCATGTTCAGACTGATCAAGTGTTTTCGAGAGATTATCGAACATGATGTTCCAACACAGTGGGCCAAGCACAGATGCCTGAGGGCATCCACGCGTGGCCACTTTTGTGACTAAGTCGGTTCCCCATCATAGGCTATCTGTACGATCTGTGAAGTAATTTCGCATTACCTTGTAGATATATTTGGGGCAGGTTCGTGACTTTAGTCCCTCGAGGACTAAGAGCCACCATATATTGTCAAACGCGCCCGAGATATCGAAGAGCAATGCAACCACGTTACATTCCGTGGACTCTTGCACCGCTCTTCACACCGCCAGTATCGCATTCACCGTTGATCGCCCTTCCATAAATCCATATTGGTGGTCTCAAATGTTTCCTTGTTTAAGGACGCTAGTTGAAAGACGAAGTTTGATAAGTATTTCGAAGATTTTGCCTAGCACTGATAAAAAGCATATAGGGCGGTATGATTTAGGGTCCGCTACATCTTTGTCGGAACTCTTTAGGAGCATACGAATTGTTCCCTCCTTCCAAGCCCGAGGAAAGACACCTTGAATCAAGCATTCGTTGCATAGTACCAGAAATCTTCCTGGGAGGTACGCGATTGCGCGTTTAACGACCTCCACTTCCAGCAGATCTAGTCCTGGGGCTTTTCCATTCTTATGCGTTCGGACGACTTGTTTGAGTTCTTCTTTGTTGAACAGTTCTGCATCGTCTGCGTTGGGTAGGTTGAGAGCGTTTATCTTTATCCTGCTCTGTTCATCTGTGTCCTCTTTCGGGTGGTCATCAACCACATGTACTGCCAGCAATCGCTCGGCTGTTTCTCAAAGTCCAGGGTTTCACCACCCTCTTTAGTGCGGAGCGCGTTCATAACTTTTTCGGCTCAAATCTTGTCGGCCTCAAGCTTGTATACCACGCCCCATTTCTCCTCGTTTCCGTGGGTTGTGACGAAATCCTTCCAGCTCGTGATGGTTATTCCACCAAGGATTAGATTTGCATGAAACCTTCATACAATTAGTCCTTCTTCATAACGTAGTTGAGTAGATTCACGACCTTTAATCTCGTACATATTGTAAAATATTTGTATGTCGCCATCTAATGACTAATAGACTAACGACGATTTCGTAAGTTGTTGACGTTGCTCGACGATTAGAATGTTTATAGCAACGAGGGGAGAGTTTGTTTATCTCCAGTTTTTGACTGACACTTCAGTTGACCGGATGTCTTCTCTTTTATTTATCAATAGTTAATTAATTTAACTTTTTCTTTTTATCAGTGTTGTCTCTTGAAGACAGAGAATGAGTGCAGACATTTTTGGACGTCAACTGGACAAAGTTTCTCGAAAAAGTGCTGTCCGTGGTTAACCCGGTAATAAATTCAAATTTAAAATTGATAAGCGGTATAAATAGATAATAAATGATTGTGCAATAAGAAGTAATTATTTGAAACTATTCGCACAAAGCAAAAGTTCATACAGATAATAAAAAAGTTCAACGTTGGTAATGAAGTTTAAATTGGTAAATATAAATATACATTTGAAAACGAATACACTCTCAACTGGACTGCTGAAGTTTTCTCTGTCAGTTCCAATAACAATTCCAGATGAAAGTCATATTTCAGTATCCTTTAATCATCAATCACGAGCTAATATTCAGTATTTAAACAGTTTGCTTGATTCAGCAGAGAGTATTCAATCAAATCAACATAACATTTTAAATATTTTGTTATTATGAGGAGATTCTAATGCAAGTGAAGCCGTTGGAATTCTTCAGGTGAAGAAAAATGACAACAGCAATAGGGATCATTCAACACTCCAATAAGGCAGTTCTGACAGTGATAAAAATGACATTTCTACTTTAATACGTAACTGGGCAATAAAACATATCAGTAACATTCCTCTAAATGCTATAACCGAGCTTCTTTTAATATTTACAAGTAAAGGATATGAACACTTTCCAACAACAGCTCAAAAACTATTGTAATATTAACATTTAATGAGTCTTACTCTAATATTAACAAAACGAGACTCTTTAAGGTATTAAGTCTGGACTACTTAAACAGATATCACAAGAAATATATAAAAAAACTTATATTGATGGAATGAATGTATCTAAAACAGCTAGTAGCCAACTTTGGCCGGTAGTAATGAAAGTATATCATAGAAAGTACATATCTCAACCATTTTAGTAGCAGTTCTTTATGGTAACGCTAAACCACAACATGTATAATGTTTATTGAAAAATACTGTTGAAGAAATTAAAGATTTAGTACGTACTCGTAAGGGTCCTACAGCATTATTCAATTGTGAGCGATGTGAAATTGAAGGTCAAACAGTTAATGGACGACGAGTATTTTCAGAGTTATACTGAAGAACACGAACCAAACGATCATTTATGAATAAGGATCAATAACAACATTACCATCCAAACAAGACAACACCATTGATTAATATTCCAAATTTCGATCCCGTAAAAGATGTTGTACTAGATTCCATACACTTGTTGTACTTGGGAGTCATGAAAAATTTTCTTGAAAGATGATTTTAAAAGGAAGTATTCTCGGAGTTCATCAATCCAATCGAAAAACTTTTAGAGATTTAATGTAATCTATCAAACAATTTATTGTAGAATTTCAACGACGAAAATTTGACGCTATAGATGTATTTCATTGGGAAGCTACTCAATTTCGTTGTATATTAACATACATAGGTCCTATTATCCTCACGTTTGTTCTACCTACGGATTTAAATAAGCATTTTTTGTTGCTTCATGTAGCCTCTGGTATTCTTTGTCATTCTGAATTAGCGAATAGTGAAGTCAATGATGCTGAAAAATGGCTAAAAAGATTTTTCAAAAAAACACCAAAGTTGTATGGAAGTGATTTGCAAACGTTAAATTTTCATAACCTTAATCATTTAGCAGGTGATGTAGGACATCTTAAAGCTCCATTGAATGATAATTCAGCTTTCTGGGGTGGAAATTACATCGGTAAATTAAAGAATCTAGTTCATTCAACTAGTTGTCCCCTGAATTATCTTGTTAAATTACGAAGTCGTAGGATTTTCTGAATCGATATGATATTATTAAATGTTGATAATGGTCATCATTCGTCATTTCAAGGCCAGTGAATCAACGATTGTTACATGAAAGGTTATAGACATCTAGACCATTAAGATGTCTTAACTTTACCGTGTTTTTCCAGTGACGTTGGAATTATCAAAATCACAAAGTTTTCGAAAACTGTAGAATTATTGAAAGTTAAATAGATAAGAACTAAGTACATGAGTTAACTACTCTCAGTCCACCTCGCGAGATGTAGAGAGAGAATGTTATCTGCTAGTTGTCATCAAGCAGCTGCTACTGAATGTCTTTATGTATGGTCACATAAGTGGATTCCAAAAACATTTAGAAATTACAGGATTTGCGTTATCACGAAAAAATTTAATGATTTTTTAATCATCATCGTTTCAGAGGGTGGTAAAATTCACTAGTCTGTGGCAGCACTGCCGCAGCAACATCGCTTTAGCAGACGAACACAGCACCTGTGAGCAAGCAGATATTATCGATAGTAAATTACCAGCTCTCTGATTTGACACTACAGCTGTAGCTTGATTTACATTCTTTTATAATTAATAAAGTCTATTTGTTCTGACTTAGTCGAAGGTATTTTACCGACGGCCTAAAATTTTTTTCCCCATCGAATAATTAGGTAAATCAAGGTCTCTCCCGCCAACTGATTTTTACTAATTAGGCAGCTCTAATTAATTCCTAGGCATATATATCCCTTTTCAAAGGGCCTAGAAGCTTCGAGATCGACAACTGCAGAAAATTAATTAATCTAGAAACAGTTTATTAAAGATTGACAGCAATTAATTAAATTGAAAGAATACGTGCGGTCAACTCAAGTCTCAGTCAAAAACTGGAGATAAACAAACTTTCCCCTCATTGCTATAAACAATCTAATCGTCAAGCAATCGTCGTTAACTAACAAACTGTCATTAGTCTAATAGTCATTAGATGGCGACAAACAAATATTTTACAATACGTTGGTCTCTAGTAGTACCTTCTAACAAAAGGCGTAAACGATGTCGGCTTCAACGCCTCACGGCCATATGTACAGATACACACACAAACAACTGGCTTGTGTCTGTGTGGCTGACGCCAAAACAATGAAACTCAGACTACTCAACAAAATCAGACTACTTCTGGTGCAGAGACCATTACAGAAAAACTTACAACTTTCCTGTGATCCTCTACTCATCAATCACCTCATCAGTGAACTCAATATTGTACAGACAATTCAAAGACTCCTTTATTGATATTTTTCTGTTATTGTAATTTTAGTGTTCAATAAATCGTTAACTGTTACTGTTAAATTGTGTCAGCCAACTCATTTACACCATTCGAAAGTCCCGACTTTTCGAGGAATTGACAAAAATGTGTTCAATTTGTCCACGCAACTTCGTCAAAAAATTGTCTAATTTGGTTTATAATTTGTCATTGAATAGTAGGGTGACAGTCGTTGTCCTGAAAACATTGGTGAACATAATGAAATCCACAAAAAATTTATCAAAAACGCCAAAAAATCGGTCAAATTGGAATAGTTGTGTAGTAAATTGTTATAATACGGAAAGAAAAAATCCCGATCTTTATTTTTACACATTTCCTAACCGTTTATGGGAAAGGAAACGAAAAATACAGTGAATAAAAGCGGTGCGTCGAGAGATGTGAGTCTGCTTAATCTCATCGAAAACGGCCCCCTCCTTCTGGGCTGTACAAAAATGTGCGCCAAGCATAAATAATGACAATGATAAAATTACGAAAAGTCCTACAATCATTATACGTAAATTATTTAAATCTAAGAATCAACAATATTCCAGATGAATTATTTTTTCGTTAAATTAAGTATGATTAATGACACAATAAACATAGAAATTGGTAAATGAATCAACAAAAATTAAAAATTTTTGAATTGCGATTTTGTTTAATGTCGTTAATGTTATTTTGAAAATTGCAAAGACACGGATCTCGTAATTTTTTATGCTCTTTCGATTGAAATTGGTCTCATTAAAAAATAAATGATAGTTTTTGAGTTATAGATTTTTTGTTATATTTAAAAAAAAAGAAATGTATATCCGTAAGGTTAATAAATATGTAAATAGAGGTATTTTCCATCATTTGTTATGCTGTTTTAACGTATAAGGTCGTTCTGGAAAATTTTTATTAGAAATATGTAAAAATTAAAAATTACCTTTGTAGGGTGTCAACTTTAGGGGTGATTTTCATCCCTTCAACACGTTCTTCCCCGGAAAAAAAAAACACGGTTCATAATTTTCAAATGCATTCATACAAATGCAGATCGTCTTTGCTTATATGAAGCTCTCGAATTTGATGTACAGAGTTCGGAATTTTATTTTTCTTCATTAATTCCGTAGAAAATTTTCTTGCATCCTAATTCGAACTGCAGAAATATATTATCATAAAACTACGTTGTAATGTCTGAATGTATTTTAATTATTTCACATAATTATTTAAAATATATTTTAAGAAAAGCTAAAAATGAATAGCAATAAACTTAAGGATTGAGGTTAACGATTATCACTCAAGTTATTTTTTGAGTTTTCCTAAGATTTCGTTAAAATAGAAAGGATTTCGAAGAATAGTTGAGGAAATCATTTTTTAGATATTTTATTGCTTTTGGAAAACCCACGTGGCGAAAAGCAATAAAACTAAAAAAAAAGAGTACGTGACGTAAGAAGAGCGTTAGCTTTTCCAAAAAGGGAAAAGACCATGCGAAGGGACTTGTGCGCGCCTGAAGCAAGGGACTTCTAATTATGTCACATTCGACTGGATAAATACGTAAGGTTTGATGTATTAGTCAGTTGTCGAAAAAGTAAGATCGAGATCAGATCGTCGTGGAACATCTCTTGAAATCGTAAGTCTTTAGTATTGTATTGATAATACTTCAAAGTTTGTAAATTTTTGTATGAAGTTTATTTGATCGTCAAATTATTTTTAAATTGATATTTAAATTAATTCGCGAGAAAAAGTGAATAATTGCGCTGACTGAAACATCGAATAAGGACCAATTAATTGTAATTCATCTCGACCAGAGTAATAGGAATCATCTGTTGGTAACGTTTAAATGGTTGTTATAATTTTTCAATAATTTTCATTCAATAAAATTTTGTTATTGTTTTTATATAAATCACACATTTTTTACTTTCTCTATCGAAGATTCCCTCATCCCTGTCTATTGGTCGAAAGGCTAGGACTAAAAAGAGGAACTTAAAGTCTCTAATGTTAAGCATATGGTTTACATATTGACACCTTCAAAGAGCAAAATTACATTACAACGTATAGAATTAAAATAAAGGAATAAAAATATTTAATACATGATACTCACTTCATGAGCTTTACATACTTTAATAAACTTACATTAATCTTTCAACACAATCAGACGATTTATGATTGATTGAAAAATATGAACTCAATGTCTGCAGACAAATGCATTCGTTTTGCAAATAATATCGAAAGAATTGAAAACAATAAAAATTCAGAAAGTTAGGTAATAAAGAATTACTGTAAGTGATGTATAAATAGAACAATAATTTGACATAGTAAATCTACAGACATAATCCAATAATAAAACTTATAAATATAAATCAAGAACTTACTTGAAGCATAACAGTTCATTATCGTAGTTAATTATCAGTAACAAACGAAAAGATGATTGAACTGATTTTCTAAAACTTCCAAATTAACTTCAAAAACAATTAATTATCTTTGTTAGAGCTTCACCAAAGGTCATTAGAATCTTCACTTTGAATTTCCCGCTGATGATTTCGACATCGATATTTTTTGAAAAATATCGACATATCGATAACCAACGATGACAAGTATCGATTGTCGAATTTTGATATTTTTTTTTAATATCGCCCATCCCCAGTCGCATCGTAATTTCTTTGAGTGTAGGAAGGGTTTAAATTGTATTAAGACTTTTCTACATTTTCAAATAAATGATGTAAGCAATGCTATGAAGTATGAAAAGATTTTAAAAAAAATTAAACCTTTATTGAATAACAATTTTCACATACATGCATTTTTCATATTATTTATAAAATCTAAACCTTTCGTTATACTAGTCTTTTCTTCATTGAGCGTACTTCACTTCTTCTTTACTCCAAAATTTTGGAACCCATACGAATTTTCAATTTTTTCGCAAGGATAGAGAGTAGAGAATTCAATTGTTTGCCTAAATCTTAGCTGGTAATGTTTCTATGAATTGAGCATCCAGCAAATTTGTTATTTTACTAAAATAGAAACTTAGCTTTGTGACTCATCTGTTATTCAAAAATCTATAACTTAAATATAATTGGTGTTTGATCGCAATTGTCCGGCAAACGTTTACACAGCTTATTGTAGATCGTAATATCGTTTTACCTTGACGATGCTTGCTCTTAAAACTTATTGATGATATTTTCTACACAGGTCCTGATGATGGCATTACTCCGAGGTAATGAATGAGAAATTGATGTTCAAGTTTTATTTTCTCAACAAAAAGTGTGTTTAAAGATTTTGAATAATTAACTGTTTTTTCTGTAAACGTTATAGTCAGACCAGTTTGTATTTCTGAGCTAACTCGAATCCTAACAATAATATAAATCCCATAATTCATTGTTATGAGAAATTAATAATCTAAGTATCAACAATATATAACGAAAAAAAGAAAGCATTTTAGGAAGCAGACATAGAAATACGTTTTATTATCAGATGAGCATGTAAAATCTCTGAAAGGAATATTTATATTATGTTGTTATGTAATTTTGCTCTTTGAAGGTGTCAATATGTAAACCATATGCTTAACATTAGAGACTTTAAGTTCCTCTTTTTAGTCCTAGCCTTTCGACCAATAGACAGGGATGAGGGAATCTTCGATAGAGAAAGTAAAAAATGTGTGATT